TCCCTCCGTTCCTCCCCCCGTCCCTCCTTCCGTCCCCCCTCTGGCCGGCGGCTGACCCCTGACCTTGACCGATCTCGCGCCCGTGCGCTGGTGCGGCGGCGCTGCTGTGCCCTGCTGCTGCTCGCACCCGTGACCGTCAGCATCAACGCCGCGAGACCGTCCTCGTGTGCGACATTCTGCCCTGTCGCGGCCGGCTACCCTGGAGTGTCCACCGGCTGGCTGTGGGCGCGGTCGCCGCCTTCGGCCCCCCACACGACACGGTGCGCAAAGTCACTGCCGGGGACGCCTTGCAAAATATGAGCGACGTGGCTAAAAATTGAACACCTTGAGTCCGCTGTCGGCACGCGGCGGTCGTGCCCACCTGCAAAACTACACCCCTCGATAGTGCCCCCTGAGACTAAATAATCTATCAAAGTCTAAGACTATTTCCATTGGTTCCTTCCTTCGGCACAAGTAACTGATCAAAACTGTACTGTGTGACGCAAAACGTAACGGTGTCAAAGTCTGGAAATGAATTGAGTCACTGGAAGTGTAAACGGCAGGATCTGATTCGCGGAGACCGTGTGATCCCCCTGTCCACTGCCGCTTCCCTCGTCCGCCGCCCCTTTTTGATGTCCACTTCCGCTGCCCATCGCCACGGTCCGCTGTCCACTGCCGCTGCGCCGCCGCCGCTGCCCCGTCCCGGACGGGCTGTCCGCTCCCATGCCCGCGGCTCACACCTGTCCGGGACAGGCTGTCCTTACGCCTTCTGTTCTGGGAAGGTCGAGCTTGTTTCAATCACAGCCCAGGAGGCCTCGGCTGCTGCGGTGCAGCGCCAGCGCCAGCGAGAGCCCCGCAGCAGCCTCCTCGCGGAAGTGGTACTTCTCCGGCGGGTCGTTGCGCGCGAGCGGCCCGAGCGAGAAGGACGGTCGTGCATCGCGCTCTCTTCTCGGGTGCACCGTCCGTAAGGGCGATACGCCACACGGTGGTGTTGCGGGGCTGCCTACCCAATCTGCCAGTGAGGCACCATTTCATCCATTTCCGATCCATTTCCAATCCATTTCTGTCCATTTCCGTCCATTTCCACCCATTTCCCCCATTTTTCATCCATTTTCATCCATTTCCAATCCATTTCCAATCCATTTCCAGGGAAAGTGTACACGCATTTCCACGAGCTACTTACCCCTCGGGGTGGTCCACAGACCACTTCCTTTATTTTGCTTATACTGCACCGCATGGCAGGCGTGCGAGCCGGCTTGCCTACCGTCGCTCACCGCGGCGCCTTACGGCCCCGTGTGAGTATGCAACCAGCCCGCACGGTACAGTATAAGCAAAATAAAGGGGGGTCTGTGTGGACCACCCTGTAGCCCCTCGCGTATGCAACCCGCTACACGGGGGAGGATTTGCCTTTACACTCGGCACAAGAAGCGGCAGGCATTATAGTTTTCTTATTTTTGAACGTCGGCAAAGTTAGAGGAAATAAACTTCGACGAACTTTGATTATTATTTTTTTAATCGACTGAAGGACCTTGGCTTAAAATTTTCTGGCAATTCAAACGTAATAATAGCGAACTTTACAACGTATTGTTTTTGGGTTTTTTTGTGTGTGTCTCTTTCGCACCTGGTAGCGCTGCATCACGTTGTCCTCGGCGCCACCAGGCCCGGCCCGCGCGCGCTCTCGCCACCTCCATGACCTCCGAGTCCTTGAACTTTGCACTAACATCACCGTCCTTTCTCTGTGTTGCAGGTCCAGAGGCTGGTGAAGTACGAACATGTAAGTCGAGCAGCAGGGCGGCAGCACCACCACCGTGACGCGGCAATATCGGTATTTTAACAGTTTCAGAATAGAGTTTTCGTAACTGGAAAATCAATGGGGATTCAGTATCTGGGTGAAAAGTTCGCAGGAGTTTGGATGTCAGGTGTAAGGTAAGGGGCGCGACGGGCCCACGGCCAGGCCGCATCAGCCGAGCGCCGGGGAGGTGCGCAACCCATCCGACCTCGCCGCCCGGCGGGCGAGGCGGGGCCCGGCTGACGGGCGGCTGCCAGCGCCAGCCAGACACACAAAAAGAAGCACAAACGAACACGAGCGATCGGCCAGTAGCGCAAAAATGCCACACAATGCACCCCCATCCCTGCCACATTTCCTCTTTCGATTCTGTCGAAGCGTTCGCTCTGGCATGGAACGTCCGTCAAATCTCCGCCATTCGACGCGTATATACTAACCGCTCCTGGTATGCACACAACGCACACAGCACAACCGCACAGCCACATACCCGGGTGTTTCAAAAAAACAGTCGTTGCCAGAGTCGTTCGGTTTTGAATACAACTTCGCAGGCACATAGTTTTTGCCCATTTAACGAGTAAGGGAAGGGGGTAGTTCATATTGTGCAAAAACGTTTGTTTGTTGGAAGTTTTGGCAGTCTTGGGATTTGAAAAACGAAAAAGTCGGGAAAATTGCAGAAAACACGAATATTTTGAAAAAAGTCCCTTAATTTTGTTTTTGTTTTTCCCCTAATTTTCATGGAAAATTTTTCCGGAAAACAACGTGTTTTTGTCGGAAAACTTTTCCGGCAAATTAAAATCCCTACCTCCTTCTTGTCCCTCAGGAGCGGTGGCAGCAGGGCTGGCAGGAGCTTCGGCGCAGCAGTCAAGATGAGGCGGAGAGGGCGGCGGCGCGCGGGCCGCACCAGCCCAACGGCGACCTGGACCGCGTGCAGGACATGTTCCCCTTTGACCTGCTGCTGCTGTACGACGACAACCCCCTCGCCCTGGTGGGTATAACAGACTGTGAAAAATATACTCGTAATTTTACCACATAGAATATGTTGCAAAGATATTTTCCACGGTGTGTTTTAATCAATAATTTTATTCTTTTCATTTTCAATCACTACGAATGTTTGTTTACACTCTCGGTTTTGGTTTCACAGAAGGCAAAGGGGCTGATGTCCCGCCGGAATAGCCCGGCGTCCAAGCTGTCCCGAGCGCTGTCCACGAAGACGGTCGCGCGAACAGCTGCCGAGGATGGCCACGCCCCGCCGGCCCCGGCGGACAGCAGGCTGCAGGGCCCCGGCCCCGGCGGCGGCGGACAGGCGCCCTCCACCAGCGGCGGGGGCGGCGGGGGGCCCGGGGGCGGCGAGGCCGCGGCGCCCTGCCCGCCGCCCCCGAGACTCCTGCGGCAGTTCATCATGGAGGCCCCCGCGCAGTTCACAACGGTGAGGGTCGCGGCGGCGGCAGAGCGGCACAGAAGTTGTCGGTCACTTTGAAAACAACTAGGACTAGGAAATCCCAAAGATTGCCCTGACAATAAAACCATTGCGGTTAAGCCGAAATGAAGGACGTGCGGGGACAAAGAAAACGGAAATCACCAACATGGAGCCTCTCGTTTTCTTGTTCGCCGCATCCTTCAGTGGGCAACTTCAAGCTTAATACAAGCAAGAGTGTTCAAGTACAACTCCGCAGTGCAAGGGTTCGCGACTCAGCTGTTGCGCACTTCTAAGTGTGCAAGTCCAGCTCAGTTGAACACTTACCACACAGTTAAGCGTCCAATCTATAAAGAAGTGTTCCACTGGGGAGAGTTGAACACTTACAGGTGCAAAACTGTCGAGACGAACACTTGCACGGGTACTGCTACCGAGAGTTGGACACTCTTGCATGTATCCAACTTGCAGTTTGCAGTTGCACACTTACAAATATTGAGCAGTTGGTTTATTACTTCTGGGATAGCCTGTACAGCGTAGGGCCTTTGATTTCCTAAAGAGGTAATTTTGGTAAAATTTTCAAGATTAGTTTTTGAAAATTTCTGAACTTTTTCCCGACAAGTTTCATTTGTTTTTTTAAGTAATTTTTCGGAAAATATTTCAAATTTCTCCAATTATTGTTTTACGGCAAAGTTTCCAATTTTCCGGAAGTTTTTCGTGGACTTAAGGTTGCTTGGGTTGCAGGGCGTGCAGGGCCAGGAGCGCCATCTCTTCCTCTTCTCCGACGTGCTGCTCGTGGCCAAGCCCCGCGGGCCGGGCCAGTACAAGCTCAAGGACAAGGTGCGCGTCGCCAGCCTGTGGCTCACGGCCGAGCCGCAGGCCTTCCCCGAGGTCTGCGAGGTGGCCAAGAGCACCGAGACGTCCTTCGTGCTGGGCTGGCCCACCACCAACGTCGTGGCCACGTTCAGGTGAGTGCTGAGCCCGGAGGGGTGACCAACAGGGTGACATAGAAGGGTGACCCAGGGGGTGAGCCAGAGGGTGAGCCAGAGGGTGAGCCAGAGGGTGAGCCAGAGGGTGAGCCAGAGGGTGAGCCAGAGGGTGAGCCAGAGGGTGAGCCAGAGGGTGAGCAAGAGGATGACCAAAGAGGCGCGACATAGTAGGCTGAACTAGAGGGTGACCCAGGGTGACCCAGAGGGCGATCCAGAGGGTGACCTAATGAGAGGGTAACTCAGAGACTGGCCCGAGGTGGCCAAGAGCACCGAGACGTCCTTCGTGCTCGGCTGGCCCACCTCCATAACGTCGTGGCCACGTCCAGGTAAGAATTGTGTGCGGAGGGCGGGAGCCGGTAGCTGGGAGCGGGCTGGAGCTGGGAGGGAAGGGTTCGCTTTGTATTGGCGGTAGCGCACCGTCTCCGGGCGTTGCCCCGAAACACAATCGCTATAGCTCGGGGGGTCGATCCATAAACCCCTGCGTCCAACGTTCTCGCTTTCGCACGGGCCGGAGCACGTCTCGTTTATTTGTTTATGTCTCTTCACCTTCTTCATCGGCCATTGAAAGCTGCACTGTTTATGTACACGCCAAGAAATTTCGTTGTAAGTTGCGAAGAAACTCGCATTTCCAAACAAAATATTTCGCAACGCTTCGCAAGCCCACAAACCTTTTCCACATAAGTTGTTTGTGATTTCAAAAGCAAATGCTTTCAAATACCCCGCGCAGCGCTTACGAACCGAACGTCTTCTCACAAACGATTTGCTTTGTGAGGCTTCGCAAGGTTCTAACAGTGTGTACTACATATCGGCTATGAAATCCTCCCCGAAAATAGACCATGGCGATAAGCGAAACACACAAGTGGAGCCGGTGAGTTCCGTGCGCAGCCGAGGCCGCCGAGGGTCCGTCGGAGACGAGGCTGGAGGCGAAGTCAGAAAGTTGGAGACGAATTCGGAAGACGAGGTCTGAGACGAGGTCTGAGACGAGGTCTGAGACGAGGTCTAAGACGAGCTCGGAGACGAGCTCGGAGACGAGCTCGGAGACGAGCTCGGAGACGAGGCCGGAGACGAGGTCGGAGACGAGGCCGGAGACGAGGCCGGAGACGAGGTCGGAGACGAGGTCGGAGACGAGGCTCGGCAGTATCGCGCCCTGATTGGGAGCCCCAGTGCCGAGCACCGGCTCGGCTGGCGCGCCAGATAACCTAGAAGTACGCACTCCGGTCTCCAGATACTCCAGGTCGTCTCTGGCGCCCTGGCAACGCCCTGGAGCCTGCTCACGCCGGGCTCACTAACGTAGCGGTGCGGCTGAGATTGTGTACTCTCCTACAAGAAGTGTCCGCCTTCGTTGTGAACTTGCATGTGTGTGGCTTGGCGTTCGCGCACTTTATTGTAGTTTTTCGTGACATTTTAGGCGACGTTGTACCAGGTGGCTTATTTACCCCGCGCACTTCTGTAGTTAGACTGTACCGCGCGCACGAGTGCAGGCGGGCTTGCCTATCGCCCCTGTCCACGGCGCCTTACGGACCGGTTGAGTAGGCAACCCGCCCGCACTCCTGCGTGCGGTACAGTCTAACTACAGAGGTGCGCGGAGTAAGTCAGCCACCTGGTATGTTGGATAGTCATGTTTGGAGGAATGCTTGTGGACTTGGAATCGTAATCCCACACCCGGAAAACCAGTTTCTTTTGATCCTGGCGGGAAACTGCAGGATGAGGAAACTAATAATTTCTATTTAGGTCGGAAGTTTCCTTTAATCAAAGAAACCATTTTCCGGTTGCAGCGTACCTGAGCGAGGGGGCAAGTAACTCACTTTTGATGTGTACACATCATTCCCGAAACACTTGCTTCACCGTGCTTCGCAGTGATTCCCGTCCGCTTTTATCATTGCTTAGGTTTTCGAGCGGTAGAAAACGCTTATTTCGACTAATTTGTACCAGTTCCACTGGTTTCCCATATTTGGCTTCAAACGATTTTTGTTGATTCGGATTAATTTTTATCCTGATGATTTCCAGCTCACATATGGGATTTTCCCTCTTTCCCATACTACTGCCAATCTGTTTGAGAAAGGATGCGGTCGGTTTCACAGTCAGTTCGTCGCTATGGAGAATAATATTCAAACCGGCAAAGGGAACTCCCGCCTCACCCACACGCAGGGAAAAATAAATTTCTCTGCCAAATAACATATATCCGTTCAGAACGGTAGAACGGCAGGCAGAGGCGGGGGATGCCGCGAGTGCCAGTGCGCTGCGTCACCCTGCCGTGCCATGCCGTGTGTAGTACGTACCGCTGCTTTGCGCAAAGTTGCTTCCGGTCAGCGGGAGGCAGTTTCATTGACACGGTCCCCTCTCTGGTCCCCCCCGGTCCCCTCTCGGTCGGGGTCGGGCGGCGGCGAGCAACCCCCCCCCCC